GGGTCTAAGCCAGTGGGGGCCTTGGTGGTCAGGGAGGAGCCTGAGCCTGGTGGCTGGGGGCTTGGAGCATCCCAGCCTGGGGTGGTTGGGGCATCGTGTTCTTGCTTCTTAGACACAGAGAAGCCAGAAGGAGGGCCTGGAAGGTTCAGGTCTACAGGGCCCCAAGACTTTTTTCCAGTCCCCATCTCACATGATAGATAGCAACTCCAACCTTCTAGGTGCCTGCGCTAAAATCTGGAGAACTCACTTTCTCACACCCCGCATCTGATCTGTCTGTAAATCCTCTTGGATTCAAAATATATCCAGAATCCCACCATTTGTCTTCGCCTCCATTACTTCTCTCTGGCCTAGATTATTGCATAGCCTCATACGTGGTCTCTCTGCTTCTGCCCCTTCTGTCTGTCCCCGACGTGGCCTCCAGAGTGATCATTGGAGAAGAGGAGTTAGATTGTGTCACTCCTCTGCTCAAGCTCTCCCACAACTCATTCCCCATCTGCCTCTGAGTCAATCTTGTCTTTACTGTGCCCTACAGATCCCAGCATGCTGTCTGCCTCCACCCTTTGCCCCTGTCCTCCCCTGACCTCAGCTACTCCTGGTTCCTTCGGTTAACACTGGCCTCCATGCTATTTTCCACACATGCCAGGCATGTGCGCACCTTGGGGCACTGCACTAGCCACTCCCTGTCCCTGGGAGAGTCTGTCCCCACATCTGTAAGGCTGGCCCCTCACTCCTTTCTGGTCTTTGCTCAAAAGTGAACCTCCTCTGACCACCCAATCTAACTCCCTCCCCCCATCTTGGCACTTCATAATCCCCTATACTTTATTACTATTTTTTTTTATCACGATCTCACATACTATTATATGTACTTTGTTTTCCTTCGTTATGTGTAAGCTCTGCGAGGGGAGCGATTATTGTTTGTCCTCTTCACTACTAAATCCCCAGCACCCAGCACGGTGCTTGGGATATAATAGACACTCAATAAATGTTTGTTTAGTGAATGAATTAGTAAGAGGTATCTAGAAAGGGCGGTGCTTTACCAAAAGGGGTCAATTACGGAAGCTGGAAGTTCAGGCATCGGGGGGAGTTAGATCTTTTCAAGGGTTCCCTGAACCTATAGATCACACCTCTATGGCCAGGAATGGGCACATGGAAAGATAAGGGTATGATAGGGGGGCCTTAGCCTGTTTTGAGGATGGTTTCCGTGCCCCGGGCTCACCTGCAGGCCACATCTGCCCAGCCATGGTGCTGCTCCTGCTGGAGGACGTCTGCAATCTCGGCCAGGGCCTGGAAGCGCCCCTCTTGGGGCAGGATGCTGGCCTCCAGCATGCCCAGCTTCTGGGCAGCCGCCTCCACTGTGGCCAGGCTGGCTGGCGGGGCTGCGGCTGCGGCCTGGCCCAGCATGCACTCTGTGTCTGTCAGAAAGCTCTCCCTGAGGGCTGCCTTGCGCTGGAAGCGCCGGACCAGGGCTTCCAACCGCTCTAGCTGTAGGATCCTCTGCAGCAGGGCCTGGCTCCGGGAGGCCTCTGCCCGCTCCAGGCCTGCCCAGCGCTGGGACAGCTCTGCAGGGCCCAGGCCCTCGTGAGGCAGAAAGGGCTTGCGGTTCTGGGCCCGAAGCGCAGTCTGCAGCCGGAAGAGCAGGGCCTCTGTGGCCCCTCGCTGCTGCAGCCGCAGCGGCTTCTCCTGGGTGCGGAAGCAGGCAAAGGCCACCAGCAGCTGGCGCGTGGTGGCTAGGGAGTCTGGGAAATCCCGCGCCTCCAGCTGCACCTGCTTCTCTGCGATCCAGCACAGCAGGTCGGCCACCAGCTGCTCGTACTGGGTCCGCAGCTCCTCCGTCTCCTGCAGCTGACTCAGGATCTGGAGGCGGCAAGAGAAGGGAACGGGGCAGCACCCCGGAGCAGGTCCTGGAATGGAGGTACTCCTCTTTTGGCTGCTGAGTGACTGCCAGGGTTCCCTGGGTGGGTGGTAGCTCCTTCCCCCCAGCTGAGGTTGCACTAAAGTGGGGGTCCTCCCAGCCCCCAGAGAAGCGGGTTGGCCTGCATTGCACACTTAGACCCAGGAATGTGGGGCACCCATCCTGCCTTCCTCCATCTTATTTTACCCCATTTGGTCTCACGTCTAGGGGGTACTATTTTTCTGAGCTGTCTTTCCCTTCCCTGAGGCCCCCACATCCCTAAAGCAGCTCAGAGCCCTTGGCCTTGATCGTCTCCCCCATGCCCAGCTGAGACGCCAACCCTAAGAACAGCTTCCCAGGCCTCCGCATCTGCCAGTGTGCCCAGAGAGGAAGAGAGCCTCCCCAAAACGGACTGAGCCCAGCAGAGCTGCTTCTGTGCCTCTCCTTACAAAGTCCAGCTCTCTGAGCCTTTCAGTCCCATTAGGAGCTCAACAGCCTAAGAGCAGGGGGGAGGGGGAGGGACTAGAGGGGATGGAGCTCACCTGGCTCTTCCTGTGTGCCAGGCCCCGAGCTAGGCACTGAGCCCAACATTCCCAAAAACTCATGGCAGCCTTCTGCTACCCCAGGCATTATCGGCTCCGTTTGACAGAGGAAGCACAGAAAAGTTAGGGGACATGGTCAAGGCCGCACAGCTGGGAAGTGGCAGAGGCAGGCTTCAAACCCAGGTGTGTCTGACTCTGAGCCCATGCTCCCGCCGCCTCTCCTCGATGCCACCTTCACTTTGTCACCAACCTTAGCAAGTCTCCTCTGGACCGTCTGCTCCTGGTGCAGGCGAGAGAAGTGATGGTAGTAGAGGGAGACATAGGTCATGATGGAGCGCTCGTCAGGCTGGGGGGCCGCCACGTCCTCGGGGTCCAGCAGCTGAGCAATGCCCAGCTCCTGCTCAGCCACGCGGAAAGCCAGGTCAAGGTTGTGCAGTGGGTGCTCAGGACGCAGGGAGCAGTAGTCAAGCAGATCTGGCCTGGACAGATAGCAGGCCCAGCTCTTCACCAGAGCCGCTTGCTGCTTGGGTCTCAAGGCCTTGGTAAAAAGGCCAACCAGCTCCCGTTGGCCGTTCACACCTTACCACACATTAGTTTCCCCTGTCGGTAATCTGAGCCGCTAATGAAGGAATGGGGCTCCGATAGAGAGGGGAGGGTTAATTTCCTTCGGGGGGCCAGGCTTCTGGGTAGGGGGAGAAACTCCAAAGGGGTGGGTACTTGCCAGGAAGAAGATAGAGAGAGAATAGAGTCAGGGACACAGAAAGTGGAGAAAGGCAGGGGTCAAGGCAAACGTGGGCCAATTCCACGGGATTTCCTAGGGAAGGGGGAGGGCCTCGGGCCAATTCCACGGGATTTCCTAGGGAAGGGGGGAGGGCCTCGGCTATCAGCCTGCTCTACTTCCGAGCCCCGGGTGCAGGGGCCAGAGGGATGTGGGAGATGGGCGGGTTCAGGACCCAAGCCCATTCTCGGTGTTCGGCTGGGTGGTGGAGCCCCACAGGAGGGAGGTTGAGGGGCTGGGAGGGCACCGGGTCCGCTCTCCGTCTGGCGCACCTGTGTGCATGGATGAGGGCACCGAAGCCGAGCCCGTCACTCCAGCTGCGGGAGAAGTCGGTGATGTCGACGTTGGGGTAGCCGGCTGTTTTCCGTTGGCACCAGACCAGCAGAGCTTCCTTGGCAGACAGCAGGGCTGCGCTGGCCCCAAACTCCTCCTGGCAGGGTGGGACAGCGGGTCACCATGCAGGGACGGCTGGGAAGGCAGCAGGACCCGCAGGCCGTGGGAGAGGCAGGCTGGGCTGGGTTGTGATCCTTCTCCCCTGACCTGGAGGCAGGTGCAGATCGCTCTCTCTTCAGAGCACCTGATTTGACTGATTTCATTTGTGGTGGGCAGGGACTGGGGCTGAGGGAGAAAAATCGTCCTTCCAAAGAAGTGGGACGCCTGAAAGCTGTCACATCTGAGCAGCCGGCTTTGAGTCACAGCTGGTGACCACAACAGCGGGAGCTCCTGTTTCTCCAGCCCTTCTCATGGGCGGGACATTGAGGAATGAGGAATTGAGGCTGGGATTTGTTAGACGGGCTCCTGGTCCCGGGGGGGCTGTCTGCCAGCCGGGCACAGGGCCGTGGCCCTCCAGCCTCTCGTGGCCCCAGGAGCGGGGCACCATTACTATTTCCATTCTAGGGCTGACACAAGGAGGAGCAGAGGGGCCATGAGGAGGCTGCCCAGCATCCCTCCCCCAACAGGGCAGGGCTTGCCTGCCGGGGAGTGGCTGACAGCCTGCCTCTGACGGGTGAGCCCCCCCTGTCTGCCTCACAGGGCGGCTGAGGGCAGAGCTTGTGCTGCTTCGTCAGGCCGGGCAAGGACATCTTTGGATTCAATCCCCTCCCTCCCTCAATGTTTCTCTTCCTGACAGTTTCCTTTATTCCGGTACTCTTGGTTCCACCTGCCTGCAACCTGCCCTGCTATCTCTCTTTCCCTCAGTGCTTCTCTTTCCCCCTCTTCTACTCCCCTCCCCCAGCCTCCATTCCTGGTCCCTGTCCTGCCCTTACTGGGACTCTCCTTCCACCCACTCCCTCCCTCACCCTCATCCCCCAAAGGCCCCTTTCCTCCTTCCTCCCCAACTCGTGCTTCCTCTCATTTGCTCCACCCCTCCACTAATTCCTGGTTATAAACTCAAAATGTCAGAGCAGAGCAGGCTGCCTGTCCTTCTTCGCCCTTTGGGCCCGGGAGCTTGGGTGGCAGCAGTGCAGGGGGGAAGCCTCGAGGCCCAGAGCTCATGCCCTAAGCAGTTGGGCTTGGCTGGCAGACACGACCCAGGAGAGAGTCTGAGGGTGAGCATGGGAGGGAGTGGGGGCAGCCTATTCCGGTTACGTCTGTTTGGCAGGGAGCAGAGCCTGAGCCGGTCAGGGTGCAGGGTGACCAGTCAGGGGATGACTCACCTGCTGCTCCCAAGGGAAAGGGCAGCCAGGGCACCTGGAACTGGCTTAGGGGACCAAGGAAGGGAGTGTAGCCACACGGAAGGGCTTGAGGCCAGTTAGAAATTCACCCATCTCTTCATTCATCGCATAGGTGCGAGACTCTGGGGACATATCCAGGCAATGCTCCTGCTGTCCTGGGGCTCACAGTCACATGATGGGTTTCAAGGGTCCTCCTGGATTTGAGCCAGATCTATGGCTTCTTTTCATTAGGGTCTCATTCTCTAGGTTGGCTTTTATAACCTTTTGGAAATGAGTTTTAGGTGAGGTTTTGGAAACCATAAAACTATGAAAATTGATAAATATAAGGACTTTATGTTTTTACTCTTTCCCATTCAGTTGTGGGAAAACAAGGTAGAACAAGAGGAGGATGGAGGACCATCTCTTTGGTGTTGAGGATACTGGGGATTTGGAAAATTCTGGGGCTGGGACTCCCTCCACATGTCTAATTTCTCCCAATAGCACATTAGAGGTATAATAGAAGTTAGAGGGTTTCAGTGCCAAGTAGGGAACAACCAATCAGGGTGAAAGGCAGGCACTGGGCAGTCACCTGAACCCCTCACTTGTGAATGGCTTGTCCCAGATCAGGACTGAAATCAGTGAATCTAGTTGTCATTTTAGCATATTACAATCTCTCTGACATTCTCAATTCTTTGCCTGTGGTTGAAGAGTGGGTATTCCTTGTGTGGATGCCAGGGTCTGTTGTGGGGTTCCTAAATAGTCAGGTGGAGCTGCTCTGTCTCCAGGGGCCGGAGGTGAGGCCAGGGCTGGGCTGGGCTGGGCTGGGCTGGGTGGTTGGGGGCTGGGACATACCCTGTCCAGGGAGATGTGGGAAATCTGGAAACGCAGAATGATGACCCAGATGAGTCCCAGGATGAGTGTCTGGTCTCCGTCCACGATGTTCTCTGGCCCAATGAGGGGTATTGGCACCTGTGGGCACAATTGGCGGGGCTCAACCGTGAAGCCTGTGTACCAGAGAAGACTCAGAGTACCCAAAATCCGGGGGGCCTGCTGCCAGATGGGAGGGTCCTGGACTCCATCCTGTCCCAGGAGGTCCCCAAGGGAGGAACAGGCAGGGCACAATGCCAGGCAGGTGAAGACTTTCTAAATGGTTGCAGCTTTGGACTCAAGTCCTCCCGGGCAAAACCCAAGCCTGGTGAACTGGGCTGGACCACTGGGGTGGGGGATCTCCCTGTATGTGGGCTACAGGTAAACAGAGGCCAAGATCAGTGGTTCAGCCATGGGGGTTGGAAATGAGGGGTCATCATAGTCAATATATGAGCTCAAGAGACAACAGAAACTGTCTGCCTCCACCTCTCAGGGCATGTGGGGATCTTCAGGGAGGGCTTGGGTCCTTGGCTCCCACTTCAATCTCAGCGCTTTCATCAGTGGTCCATCTCCTGGTAAAAAGGCAGATTCCCAAGCTGCTTTTTTACCCAATCAGACTCTCCTGGGCCAGGGCCCAGGACTTGCATTTGGACAAAGACCTCAGGTGGTTTTCCTGTGCACTCAAGTTGAACACCTGCTGCCCTAGATCTTGCCTACATGGACAGGGAGGAGGAATGAATGAGGGGAGAAAGGAACAGAATAAACATCAAAGCCGCACGGGACCTGGGCCCCTTCACCCTCTGGCTCCGTCTTCCTCTCCTGGATCACAGCGCTCCAAGGCCTGTGGGATTCTGGCTGTTCCTTGGGATTCTAGGCACAGGCCTTGGGGCCTTTGTACTGTCTGAAAATACCGTCCCCAATAGCCACATGGCTACTTCCCTCTCTTCTTCTAAGTCTTGACTCAAATACCACTTTTTCAATGGTGTTTTCAATAGCCACCTTATTTGAAATAGAAGCCCAGGGACTATTCCTCCTGCACAAACACACATGCTCGACCCCCTTACCCTGCTTGGGTGGGGATCTTGGTTTTGTTCTCTGATGCCTCCCTAGTAGAGAGGCTGGCATATAGTGGGTAATGGATAAGTATGCACTGAATGGAGAAAGAAGAGGGGCGACTTTCCATAAGACCGGCGGGAAGCCGGCTTCAGCCAACCACCAGCCTGGTGGGCAGGCCTGCATCCCTGGGTATCGCAGCGGGGCCCGCCCCATGCTCAGACTTCTCCTCCTGGCACACCTGAGCTGGAGCAGCTAGCTGGTCTGTGGGGGCCTTGGAGTCTGCTCATACCAGCTTGTGAAGGCTGATCTTCCCACTTTGTGCTTAGTGATATCACACTGGTAGCTTGCAGTCAGCTGTGGTGGAGGCCGTAATCCCAGGGAAATGAGCAAATGCTACAAAGCAGGGCTTTTATGCCCCCTGCACTGAGAGTGGGTTGTTAAACATTTACCAGCACACGCTGATCTGGGTTCAAATCCACTGTCTTCCCTGAAACTGCAGGCCCCTGGCAGCCAGGTCTGGGCTTGCTGCCTGTGGTCCCCAGAGCCTGGCATGGAGTGCCCAGCAAATGACACGGTCTCAGAAATGAGTGCATCCCACATTCTGCTGCTCGGTAACCCTGTGTTGGGGCAACAGTATGTAGAGTGGAGACAAGGCTGTCACCTTCATAGACTATGTATCAGTGACATGCTGGGCTCGCGGGGAGCTGCAGAGCCTCTGACAAGGGCCACGGGGCGCCCACTCTTCCCAAATACCTGGAGGGGTGGTGGCTGGCTCACAGGCTATTGTCCCCGGGACCAAAAAAGGGCCTGGCATTCTGTGGCTGTGAGCTTTCTGCTCCTCCCTGGGCTTGGGGACTGCAGTGGCCCCATGCCTAGCTTTGGCTTCTAACTCAGGCAAGCCAGGCTCCCGGGGGGCTGTGACCTCCAACCCAGGACGTAAGTGACAGGCACACACACCCAAGTTCAGCCCAGCCAGTTCCAGCTCAGTGACTTGCAGGCTCCAGGAACAGCTTCCTCATGGCTTCCGGACCTGCGGGCTTCCCCCGTCCTGGCTCCCAGTATAAACGACCCCTGCCTAGGCCCCTTGACGCTGGCCATGAGGGTCCTTCCATGGCCCTGAAGCTTTTGCCTCCTTTTAATGACTATTTCTTTGGCCAGTCTCTTTCTTTCGGGAGACCGTGGCTCCATCCTGCTTGCTGCAGCCCCTGCCTGCTAACGGATCCAGCTTCTCCAAAGCAGACCTGAACCTCTTCCCTCCACCACCTGGCTCAGTGTCCGGGGGTCTTCTCCGGTGTCCTCCTCTCAGCCTGCCCCCCACAGCCCCGCATCCGGGCTCGACTGGCCCACTGACCGTGGGTCTTGCCTGGTAAGTTATTTCCTTAGTTAGGGAAGGAGAGAGTTCAGAGTATAGGGAATCTTTCGGCTTAGAATCCCACAGTTCTCTCATGGCAGGCAGCAGTGCACTTCAGTCCCACCCACACGGATGTCCCTGCTCCGGCCGGGCGGTCCGGGGCCCTCGAAGCTGCGAGTGCTGCTCAAGGAAGGGCTTGACCTTCTGGACCTCTGTATCCCAGCAGCTATGCCTGGATTAGGGCTCCAGAACCTCTGCTCTGCCCCGGCCAGCCCAGGAAAGATGATCTAGGAGCCCAGCCGACCCTCCGTCCCCGCCCCAGCTCCTTGTCCAGAAGCCGTCTCCCCAGCACCCACCTTGGCCCTGAGGAAAGCCAGAGCGTGGCTGCTGTTCTCCAGGAAGTGCGCCCGCAGGCGACCCCGGCTGGGGGGTGGCAGGGCCTCCCCCGAAATGAGCTCCAGCAGCCGAAGTAGGTGGCTGCCATCAGCCAGCTCCGTGTACAGGTTCTGGAGCTTGATGCCCACCTGGGAGGGGTGGGGAAAGGGCACAGGGTCAGCCCCCCTCTCCTGTCTGGCCTATCCCAGCACCGGGGAGGGGCAGGCCAGAGCAGCTTCCTTAAGGAAGGAGCACGGCCCTCAGCGGGGCTTTAGGGTCAACAGAAGCAGCTTCAGCTGGGCTCTGGGGTCTGCGAAAAGTCTCAGCCAGATGACCTCACAGCTGGCCCCCAGAGTCCACTGGCCAGGGAGTGAGGGGGACAGTAGAGGCAGGCTGCGGGGCATGCCCCACTACACTCACCCGGCCATGCTGGAAGACGTTGTTGATCCAGTTGGTGAAAGTCTTCTCCTGCATCCTCATGTGCTGTACCTGCAGCTTGCGAATGTGGCTCGTCTCGTATGCAGAGTCCATGGTGGGACAGGACTCGGGGAGCTGCCCTGGGGCTCTGGGGCTGGCCTCCTGCTGCAGGTGCCCTGTGGCCCCAAGGAGCTGCTGGGGACCGTGGGACCGACCAGCCAGCAGGCCTGCAGCCCTTTAGGGATGAGGGGCCACTGGGTATTTCTCTAAGCTGGAGATGTTGAGGGGCATGGAGATTGGGGAAGGAGTGTGAATGGTCCCCACATTTGGAGGGGGCGCTTGTGGCTTAGGGCCTAGCCAGGTAAGGTTCTGGGGCTCCCGGCTGGTGTCCTACACTTAAATGCCTCCGAGCCCTTTGCCCCACCCCACTTTCCAGATTCCTCGGACCACGGGCGACTAGCTGCTGCTTCTCAGGATGAAAAGGGCAGGTGGGAAGAAAACAGGACTCACCTTGGCGATGTCTGTGCCGGGAAGGAGACCCTACTGGACGGATGGAAATGGCAGATAGTAGGGGCTGCGTGGGGAGGGAGAGAACCACAGGAGAGGCCAAGGCTGGAGCCGGGGCCACGCCATGGCCCTCCTCTTGAGCCACGGGGCAGGGGTGACGGCACACAGCGGGCATTGTCCTCCCACCTGCCAAAGGGCGTGGTCCAGACAGGGAGGGGGTGGTTCAGGAATGTTCTAGCCTATGGCCCCAGGATCTCCTCCTTCAGCCTCCCCCCACCTCCGATGCTCCCAATGTCAGGTGGGGGTCCTGGCTGTCACGGCACAGGGGCCCGTGGGAGCTCCCCGAGCTGGCTCTGGGTGGGAGTGCCATGGGGTGCTGCAGTCCGGGTACTCACATGGCAGAGCCCCTGGCCAGAAGCTTCTGCCCCCACTTCCCAGTCTGGGACTGCCCTTTGGCACCATTGCAGGGCCTCTTTGTGAGCACCCACAGGGGTGGAAATGGGAGGGAGCATGCCAGCCCTCTCATCCTGTCCAGGGGAATGCCACCATAGAGGGAGGGGAGTCCTTGGACCCCAGGCTCAGCTTTCCAGGCCCTGACTTGGCCCAGGGCTGAATGGTGGGTGCTCCCTCATGCCCAGGGGCCACTTTCTGAAGGGGGCTTTCCCTGGGAGAGGGTAACTAGGAGCTGCAAAGGCCGTGGGAATGGCGGAGTCTCCTCCAAAGCCAGGGACACAGTGTTCACTTTGGGGGGCTTCATTGTGAGGCCCCCAGCACCCATGCTTCCACAGAGCTGTCTGGGTCTCAGGGCTCAGGGCAGGAGCTGTGGAGGGAGCCCGCAGGCAACTCTCTCTCCCTCCCTGAGCAATCTTGAACTGCATGCCAGAGAGAGTTCTAATTCGGGTGGCTTCACAAAATGTTCTGGCTAACCTCGGGGTCATAGTCACTGGTCCGGGGTGGGTGTCTGTGGTTTCATCCAGCAGCCCCAGAGACTCTGAGAGGAGATGCGGCACTTCTCGGGCAGGTGTCCCTGGCAGCCAAGGCTGGTGAGAGAGGAGCGCGGCCACAGCCTGCCCTCCAGAGCTGCGCAGGACAAAGCACTCTGGAACCCCGGGCCTGTGGCTGGGAGTGAGGGGCATGGCGCTCTCGGGCTGGGGGCAGCTCCCCTGCATCTGAGAGGAGCTTCATCCCCTGTTGCCCTCTCCCTGTGAGGTCCCTCCTGCCACTGGCTGGCTTCCCGGTGTTGGAGTGAGCCCGGGCTTCTTCCTCGCTCACAGCCCCAGATGGAGCCAGTCCTCAGGGGCAGCTGCTCCGTGCTCCCCAGAACCCCACGGTCTACCGTCCCACCCTGTCTACTTGCACTGCCCCCGCACGGCCCCATCACCGTTCCCTGACTTGACATCTTGCCTGCACATCAGTCTAGGCACAGCCCCCCAGTTTACCCCCCAGAGCACAGCTCTGCTCGTGCCTATGAAGACTCCCCATTGCCTCAAAGGGACCAGAGCTTTTCTGCCCGCATCGGGGCTTCAGCTGTTCTTTCAGCTTAGAATGTCCCTTCTGTTCCTCATTGTCCACATTTTCCTATCCTATCAGCCCCAGTTAAAAATCCTGCTCCTTCTAGCAGGTTCCCTGCCACCTAGCCCCTCTCTCTCAGCTTGTTTCTCCTCCTATTAAGAGCCTTGGCCCAGGGCATCTTGTATGATGTGACCACCAATGGACAGGCTGGAGCTGCATGATGCTTTGCACACAGACCTCAGCAGAGGTTGTTGTATTAGGTTGTTGAGTGGGGCTGGGGAACTGTTTT